GGGGGGGTGTACATGATGATAGACTACCAGGACAATCTGGGGGCTGGTTGACCTGAGTATGTTGACTGAATGTTTGATCGATGGTTGCGTGTTCAAACCCTGTTGAATGCAACAATGTCCATGTTTTTTATAGTGCGCATTGTAAAGATAACCCATGCTTTCTAGGTGTTCCTATCATGTGTGGGGTCCTGTGTCTCGTTGGGATGGACTCAGCTGTGGTTTCAGTAAATTGTCCTTTTTCTGGCTTTTGAAAAACATGCTTTTCGAAATGTCCAGGCATGTCTGCTGCTCTCTCGTTGCAGATTTTGCTTTCCTTCAAAAAAAAGAAAAAGGGAACTGTTGAAATACAGACCTGAGTGTAGTATGAAACATCAGAGTAGCATCGACATGGTAGCCACCCGCGGCAGATACAAAGCATGGGGGACCAGAATGCGGAGACGGTATAGGACGGGAGTGTGTACATACAATTAGGCTTTAGACTGGGGCTGAAATGGGATACCTGGTGAACTAGGGAGATGGCGACTTCAAGCAGGGTGCTGAGATATACGAGCGCAAGCCCGCAAACATGGTGGTATGAGACAAACTTTTGCGATCCCCTTAAACGAGGCAAACTTTTGCAAAGAATTTGACCCACCAGCGCATTCTTCGGATGAACAGTGCTACCGGAGGAAGAAAAAAAAGTGGCTGCGGCGGTGCCAGCGAAAAAAGAATAGAAAACGTGCCGTGGGCGCCTCTTTTTCTTTGGCACACACTGCCACACAGTGCAATTCCGCGGCGGTGCCAGCGAAAAGAGAATAGAAAACGTGCCGTGGGCGCTTCTTTTTCTTTGGCACACACTGCCACACAGTGCAATTTCGCGTCGAGAAAAAGATGCTTGGAGGTAGTGGTGGTTTTAAAAGAAGTCAATAATAAAATTTTGGGAGACTTTTGTGTTGTTAACTTTCTATCAAGAAAGAAAGTATCAGAAACATGTTGAAAAAAAAAAAGAAGGCATCCGAAAAACATGTTGTGTCCTCGAGAAACATCTGTGTCCTTAAGAAACACTCGTGTTTCTCAAAGAAACATTTCTGTCCTTCCCTATCTGTCACATTTAGACATGGGTACCCTTCAGTCTTCTTCTCCGTCTTTGTCTCCTTCTTCTTCGTGTCTTCTTCGTCTTCTTCTTCTTCTTCTTCTTTGTGTCTTCTTCGTCTCCTTCTTCTTCGTGTCTTCTTCGT